TTTGTATTGTGTAATGTTTATAACAAAGGTTCCTCTCCCTGAAATGTTAAGATTACTTGAGTTCATACAAGTAATATGCTTATGACAGTTTCTGGTGCTCAGTGTCATGTATACTTGATGTCAAGTGTTAAACTTTGATTATGTTTGTAATATTTTGAAAAATAGCACATATGTTACTTATTTTTGTAGTGTATCCCAAATATCTCTAGTTCAGTTATTGACCTACAGTAGGTATTTATGCTTATTAATTTGTTTTTGCTTTTATTTGGGGTCCACACCTGGCAGTGCTTGGAGCTTAAACCTGTTTCTGTTCTCAAGGGTCACTCCTGGTAGGGCTTGAAAAACTATATGGGGTGCCAGGGATTGAACTCGCTATATTATCTCTCCAGTTCCTCTTTCTTTCTTTCTTTCTTTCTTTCTTTCTTTCTTTCTTTCTTTCTTTCTTTCTTTCTTTCTTTCTTTCTTTCTTTCCTCTTTTAAGCAAAAACACTCTTTAGTGTCTTCAGTGACCATTTGTGGTTCTTTGCTCAGCAGTGACCTCTACTGTTGCTATGTCCAGTGATAGGTAAAGGTAAAGGCCCTCCTGTTGTTCGTCGATTTGCTCGAGCGGGCCCAGTAACGTCTCCATTGGAGATTTTGTTGTTACTGTGTTTGGCATATCGAATACGTCACGGGGAGCTTGCCGGGCTCTCCGAGAGGGGCGGAGGAATCGAACTCGGGTCGGCCATGTTGGCTGCGTGCAAGGCAAATGCCCTACCGCTGTGGGGCTTATTCCTGTCTTTGCTCAGGAATCAGACTTGCTGGGCTCAGGGGACCCTATGTGGCGCTGGGAATCAAGCTGGGGACAGCCATGTGCAAGGAAAGCACCTTATCTGCTATACTACCTCTCTGACCCCAATGTTCCCTTTTAATTTTTTTCTCTTATTATTTTTATTTTGCTCGAGCGGGCCCAGTAACGTCTCCATTGGAGACTTTGTTGTTACTGTGTTTGGCATATCGAATACTCTCGGTAGCTTGCCGGGCTCTCCGAGAAGGGCGGAGGACCGGCAAGCTACCGAGAGTATTGGATATGCCAGACACAGTAACAACAAAGTCTCCAATGGAGATGTTACTGGGCCCGCTCGAGCAAATCGACGATCAACAGGAGGGCCTTTACCCTTTTTACCTTTACCTATTTTTATTTTATTGCTGGAGCGATAGCACAGTGGGTAGGGTGTTTGCCTTGCACTCAGTCAACCCTAGCCCACCCCGGTTTGATTCCTCCGCCCATCTCGGAGAGCCTGGCAAGCTATCGAGAGTATCTAGTCCACATGGCAAAGCCTGGCAAGCTCACCATTACTATTCAATATGCCAATAACAGTAACAGAAAGTCTCACAATTTGTTTTGAGAGGTTACTGGTGCCTTCTAGAGCAAGTTGATGAACAACTGGAGGACAGTGCTACAGTGCTACTTAATACATAGCATGCAATCTGTTGTATCTATTTTGCTTTTACTTCTTGCTGTATATTTGTGTTGTATGCAACTGTTTTTGTTATTGCTACAAACAATGGACACTGGGGAAAAAAAGCTGGAGTCTTCTGCTGTCGGTGGTTGCAGTGACTTTGGCACTTAGAAATTATTTCAATTTTTGTTTTGAGTTGTACATTTTTCATTAAGTGCATTTCTACTGCTTCCTCAGGTTCCACAAGATTATTCACCCGCATGGCAGAGCCTGGCAAGCTATCTGTGGCGTACTCAATATGCCAAATACAGTAACAATGATGGTCCTCATTCCCCTGATCCCGAAAGAGACTCCAATATGCCATCGGGCTATACTAGCACGTGACAGGGACGAATGGAAATGTTACTGGCGCCCGCTCAAGCAAATCAATGAACAACAGGGTGATAGTGATAGTAATTTTTTATTATTATTTATATAACTTCATGTCCCAAATAATATTTGTTACTTAAAGAACTTATTGAATCCTTATTGAAGTAAATCCTTATTGAAAAAATAAATGAAAACAAAGTAAAATTAAGCATGTTAGAAATCAGTATTTAAGTTCAGCTTTTTAGGATAATGTAATTTTATAGAACACATAAATCTTTACTTCAAATGGTGACTTTTATCAAAGATTTAAAATGATCTTAATATTTGAAAAATTGAGCAATATAACTTGAATGTATAATCCCTGTGCTCTATTATCTTATAATTATTTAAACATTATTATTAATTCATTTAAAATGTCTTACTTTTGCTTTTGGGGGGGGGGGTTTCACATTGGAAGTGCTCCATGGTTACTCCTGATAGGGAATCACTGCTCACAGGGATCAGGGGAGCATATCAGGTGCATGGTTTGAAGGTGGGTTGGTCACATGCAAGTACCCTATATACTATACTATCACTCCAGCCATAATTTTTTTTTTGTTTTTGGGTCGCACCTGGAGGTACTCAGAGTACTCTGGCCTCTCCAGGTTCCATAAGGAGACCTGCGGTTGAACCAGAGACAGTTGTATCCAATGCAGTACATTAACCCCTGTACCCTGTATTTCTTGTACCCTTCAATTATTTTTTTACAAATATTTAAAGACTGTCTACAATGTTACATAAACTTAGAAAAATACTACCAATTATATGATAGATAATAATCCACCATTTGCTCATTTTTGAACATGTTCAATATCTATAATTTTAATTGTCTTTATTAATTGTGAATACAGAGAACAATTTCTTGCCAGGTTATTTGAATGATAACCTAGAAACCTAATGAGATTAGATACTCACCTGAGTATTATATAAATCACTGTCTTCCATATAATGGAGTCATTTAGTTAATACTGCTATTCACAAATCACAAATCACAAATCATCCTGTTAATCGTCGATTGCCTCGAGCAGGCCCCAGTAACGTCTCCTTCATCCTAGTCCTGAGATTATATTCAAGGCTCTTTAGGAGAATGAGACCCATCATTGTTACTGGTATTTGGCATATTGGGTACGCCACAGGGAGTTTGCCAGACTCTGCTGTGTGGGCAGGCTACATTCGGTAGCCTGCCAGTTTGTCCAAAGTAGGAATGAGATAATAAAATGTCATAATAAGATGTTGGTTCCAGGAGCTGGGTTTTATAGTCTCTGAGTCTTGGCCACTGATGGGATTACACGGCGCCAGGGGGCCAGTTGGTGGGTGTGACCCCCGCCTACTGGAATTTGGAGGATCTGGGTGGAGGCTGCTCGGCCCAAATCTGAGTAGGCTTGGAGATCTCAGCCCCGGAACCCGCGTGACTTTGTCCCTCTTCCAGTACCTTCATGTGTGCCGAGAGTGGTCTCAGCATGGTGGTGGCTGGTCTAGAGGTCTTTGGCTGCCAGAGCCCTGGTCGGGGCGGGGAGGAAAGCTCAACCCGCTCCCCTCCAAGGGGCCCTGGCGGCAGAGGGCACCACCATGCTGAGACCACTCTGCTCTGCACACATGAAGGTACTGGCAGAGGGACAAAGCCACGCGGGTTCCGGGGCCGAGATCTCCAAGCCTACTCAGATTTGGGCCGAGCAGCCTCCACCCAGATCCTCCAAATTCCAGTAGGTGGGGGTCACACCCACCAACTGGCCCCCTGGCACCGTGTAATCCCATCAGAGGCCAAGACTCAGAGACTATAAAACCCAGCTCCCAGAAGAAGAATACTGCTATTACCACCTATAAATAATGATGCTGAGGACTGGTAGGTGGTACAAGATTTAAGTTTCTTTGAAGCTTCCCACCTCTGTTTGATTTCTTGCACCTCATAGAATCTAAGGATCCTTGAGTTTTCACACTGAATGACAAGCCAAGCTAACCATTAGTTAGCTGGGGATTTTCCTGACCACTGTCATGATAGATCTAGGACTAAAATGGACACTTCCACAGAGTTTATTACTACATATGATCATTAAAGACCTTTTTAAGTGTCTGTTTTACATGGAAAAAGCTAGAAAATAAGCTGGAAAAGAGACCTTTTATTTACAGACCATACTTTCAGCTTGCTGTGGGAGAGAGGCTAATTCTTACTGTCTTCATAAGTTCCCATATGTCTGGAAATAAGGGGCAGTATTAGAATGTAACACTAACAAGAGATTTTCCCAAAATAGAGCCATATATGGGCTAGAGCGATAGCACAGTGAGTAGGGTGTTTTCCTTGCATGAGGCCGGGCGGTCAACCCGAGTTTGATTCCTTCACCGCTCTTGGAGAGCCCGACAAGCTACCGAGAGCTACCCGTTATGTATTTGCTATGCTGAACACAGTAATAAGTCTCACAATGTTACTGGGCCCACTCGAGCAAATCGATGAACAACAGGAGGACAGTGCTACAGTGCTATATATTTATTATATATATATATATATTATATGTACATTCCTGCACTAATCCACAATTTGTATGCTTCATAGAGATTTTTTAAGTATACCTTAAAAAACACGTATGGGGGGAGGGAGAGAGGGCCAGTAAGGTGATTCCCTTGCACAAAGCTGACCTGACTTCAAATCCCGGCACTACATATAGTCCTCTGGGCCTTACCAGGACCACAGAGCCAAAAGGAAGCCCTAAGCACTACCAGGTATGGCCCTAAAACTAAAATACTAAAAACACAGAACATACTATATTGTTTATCAAAACATTTCTCACATATCTAGCTCTCATTGATTCTACTAAAACCTCAAGTCATTCAGACCCATGAATGTATACAATATACAAAGATAAAAAACACAATTTTGGAATAATTAGCTGGGCATGATGATATCATTATGATAACATTTCTTATGATATCATCCTATGATATGATATTTTAAGTTATCTTCCTGTCTAGAAAGATATTCAGGCAAAGATCACGTTCCTTTGAAAACGGTTCATTCAAATAAGAGTAGTTCTGTTTCAATTTGCAGTAGATTTTATTGCACATTTGCGGAAGCTTCAGGTAAATTGGAAATGATTTTAAATGTAAATGAAGAGATTTTCTCTTATGCTAAAAGAAGAAGGAACAGCATTTACGTACAGTGTATTTCTAGCACCTGCATTGCCACTTGTGGGGTGGCATTGAGGGATTCGTGGTCTACTCTGCATATCACTGCCACACCATCATCACTCCGGTCCACTCGAAAATCCAGAGTGCTACTAACAGTGAATGTCTTACGATTGGCATCCTCTTCTTTTAGATATTTCACATCTGAAAAGTAAACAGAATTTTTTCAATTGCGTGACATTCAAACAGCAGCAGATTTTTATCCAGACATATATGGAAGTCACCCTATATTTACATATTCTTAGAAAGTTGGTATGTGCTAATTTCACATTTTCTCTTCTCAACTTTGAGAAATAAAAAATTAAATATTTTTATTTAAGAAATGTCAAATAAAAGAACTATAAGTTTACTAAAGATAACCTTAATTCTTTGAGTAACAAGTCCATTTGGGAAGAGCAAATAGACAACTATTGTGTTGTACCTAAAAGAATATAATAGATAAGAGCTACAGTAAATACCTTGAAATTTTAAGATGTACACAGTTTGCTAAGAATAACTAAATGAGAAACTTGTCGTCTTTGGTTAAGAAAAAAATTATTGGGAGCCGGAGCGATAGCACAGTGGGTAGGGCATTTGCCTTGCACGTGGCCAACCTGGGTTCGATCCCCGGCATCCCATATGATCCCATAGCACCGCCAGGAGTAATTCCTGAGGGCAGAACCAGGAATAACCCCTGAGCATCACCGGGTGTGACTCCCCAAAAGAAAAAATGTATTGTGCATATGAATTCTATAAATACACACAGTAGTAGGGCGTTTGCCTTGCACGCAGCCAACATGGCCAACCCTAGTTCGATTCCTCCGCCCCTCTCAGAGAGCCCAGCAAGCTACCGAGAGTATCTCGCCCGCACGGCAGAGCCTGGCAAGCTCCCCATGACATATTCGATATGCCAAACACAGTAACAACAAAATCTCCAATGGAGACGTTACACAATAAAATTTATAATAAATATTCTTCAAACTTACTTATTTGAACTTACTTTAATCATTTCTGATTAAATGGGAATTCTGATTAAATGGGAATTTTTGCCTCAGTATGTGAACTTACTTAGTGTCATTTTTTTATTATTCTGTTATTTTTATTATACTGTTTTATTTTTTTATATTTTATTATACTGTTATATTTATTATACTGTTATTTTTATTTATTATTCATGAATTCAGTTTTATCTTAAATTGGTGAAAATGGAGATCATCTTTCTTTGTAGGAAAGGAATTTAGTGACATTTTTGCTTCTTTCTGAGATTTTTGTATTTGAAAATATTTTTAGCATTGTTTTTATAAAACATAAGACAAAATGAGTGATCTCTTTAACATGTCAGAAGGTTATGAACACAATTTTAGTTCTCTGATACAGCAAATAAGTTGTGATTTTTTTCTACTTTTGATATATCATAAATTTATTCAAAATATCTTGTTTTATACTTTTTATACACTATTAATCTATGTCCATGCCTTCTTGTTCATAACTCTGTAGTTGTAACATAAAAAGTTATCTTGATAAACTTCTTTTTTGGGGGGGGAATTCGGGCACAAACTGTGATATTCAGGATTTACTCCTATCTGTGCATTCAACGATCACTCCTGGAAGCCTCGAGGAACTGTACAAGGTGCCTGGAATTGAATCCGGGCTGGCTGCGTGCAAAGCAAGTGCCCTACCTGCTGTGCTATATAGCCTGGGTTCCTTGATTAACTCCTTGTATAATTATGATATAGACTACATGAGAAATTACTCAAAATCATTGCTTCTAATTGTTTACTTCTAATAACAGCTGCATTTTAAGAACTCACACATCTGCTTCTTTTAGCTATTTTCTTCCTAAAAGTATAATTTAATGCAATATTAATTAGACACATAAAATCTGATAGAGATAGTATATAACATAAAATTTTAATGATCTCCAATGAAATGAAATAAACAAAGGTATAATTTGTTGCTTTTAATATTAGCTTGTGTGACAGCTCAATAGTCTTATTAGATTAGTTAGCATAAGATGAAAGGAAATAGCACTGACTAGAGCCAATCATTTTCTTTCCCTGTATTTCACTCCTCTCCCTGTCCTCAGATACCAGGAGAAAAGTAAAACTGTATCTTTTCCTAATTGATATCTTTATAAAATAGCTGTTGTGTTATATGACTGTGGAATTAGAAAAGGTTTTCTTTATGTTGCCTAGTTTGGTGATATCATTTTCATAATCATTTTATGCTTTAAATAAGTTTTCTTTTTCTCTTTGTTTTATTCTTTTCCTTTCTTTCTTTTTCTCTTTGGCATATCAATACACAATATTGTGAGGTAGAGCAGTTTTCCTTAAAATGAAATGTGCATAAAAATTACTTTGGGGTCTTGCAAAAATGCAGATTCTCATTCACTATGTTGAGAGGTGGAGCCTAAAATTCTGCTGTGGGATATAAGCCATATTTTGACAGAGCAAGACCTAGTGGATACATTGATACTATGTAACCAATTGTTCTCTCTCTCTATCTCTCTCTCTCTCTCTCTCAGATACACATACACACAAATTTTCTCTCTTACATACTCTCTGTCTCTTTCCTCCTTTCTTCTTCTGTTCACTGCTTCTATTCTATTCTAGCTTTATAATTTTTAAATATATTTATTCCTTTATATTACATTTTTCAAAGTTCAGGTCTTGTACACCCTGTATACTGATGTCTAGAACTTGAACTTTAAGAACATTTTCCATTAATATTTGTTAAAAGTGTTTTTATGATGGATCAGGTATTAGTTTCTAGCAAACAGTATTCAAGAAATTCATGATGCACCCATACCATACCATCAACCATACACATGGCATTTTAATGATTCAATATTTCTGTAGTAATATATATATATAAATGTATATATCTGTCCACTTGTTACAGAAAACAAAATATTATATTATATAAGATGACTTGATATGATTAAAAAGAAATAGTGATCATTTTGGATAGAATAGAGTGTATAGTTATTTCTTAAAGGCTCCAGCAGGGAGGTTGTAGATAGGTTGGCAGATAAGGTGCCTAGCAACAGAGGTGAAGAGATACCGGCATTCTGGTTATGGATATGGTACAATAACAGAGTATCCTAAGACATATTAATAATATCATATATCATGATACCTCACTTTTTTAAATGTAAAAAGGCAGCATCCCAAAACAATTTTTAAAAAGCTGTCTAGCATATGATTCAGAGATTTTGCTCCTAGGCAGTTACCCAAGAAAACAAATATATTTATAGATTAAAAAAAAAGCTACACATAAAGATTCATGGAAGCTTGACTGCAATGGGAAAAAACTGAAAACAACCCAAAGTATATCTCTAGAAAATAATGAGCAGTATAAATCCACATAATAGATAGCACTATGGTACTGTCCTTCCATTGTTCATCGATTTGCTCGAGTGGCCAACAGTAATGTCTATGTCTCACAACAAATTGTGAGACTTATTGTTACTGTTTTTGGCATATTGAATACATCACGGGGAGTTTGCCAGGCTTTGCTGTGTGGGTGAGATACTCTCAGTACCTTGCTAGGGCTCTCTGAGAGGGGCGGAGGAATCGAACCAGGGTCGACCATGTAGGTCGCGTGCTGCGCTATCACTCCAGCCCTTATAATAGATAATTATTCAATAACAATGAAAAAGTCTTTACATATGCAATCACATGATGAATCTCAAAATATTAATGTTGAGTAGAATCAATCTGAATAAAATAACAATATGCTATGGAATTTGATTAATATAATATCCTAGTATATGCAAATGAATGTTTAAAGACATAGCATGGAATTTCCTGGGGATGAAGTTTGATGGAGGTAGAGGAGGTCAAAGTGAAGTTAATAAAAAGAAACACCCACAAGCTTTTTAATTAATGAATATCTTCAACATCTCGAGTGTAGTGATGGTTTTATTAGTATGTACACTTTAAATATGAAGTATTAGTATGTAATACTAATTTTAAGTATAAGAATGAAAATATAGGAAGAAAATTTTAAATACAAGGAAGATAATTTATTTTAAATATGACAAAGATAATTTACTCAATGAGTTTTGGCATCCACTTTATCAAATACTCAAACTTACAAAGAACAGTCACTTTATCTCTTTCTAAAATGTACTTAACGTATTTCACATGCAGTCTGCAGAGATTTGATGTAATACATCTGACAACATTTAGAAAATTCAAATATATGCTTATTTGTGTATTCCTCCATCACAAACACATTTCACTTATAAATTTATATCATTAATATTATCTTATTTTTTGTTTTGATATGTATTCAGTATGAATCAGATTTAAATGGTCAGTGCTATTCAAAGAGTAAGAGTATGAAGAAAACCACACAAGTCCTCATTTATAAATACTTTTAAACACTAATATTTTTGAGGTGCTGAGAAATGACTTCAAGGGATGGAGTGCATGCTTTGCATGAAGGAATCTCAGGGTCTATCTTCGGAACGATAATGTTCCCTGAATACCAAGCGAGGAGCAGCATCTGAGCACTGCCAGGTGTGACATAAATAAGTAAATAACTAAATAAATAAAAACCTTGAATTAATCTTTATCCAGATAAAATATAGAAATTTTAACTTAGAAGGCACAAATATGCCTTTTTAATTTTATGTTTAGCTTCAGAGGATTTATAATCACTATATTACGTGTTAATATTTCAGTCATTGCAAATTAAAGTTTTCTAGAGCTGATATTAAATGAAGCAGAAAATAAAACTAGCTGTGTACACCTAATAGAATATTTAAAGAATACAATCTGCAGCTTTTCAAAGTAGATTCCACAGAGTTCATAAAAGAAATATGAAACAAACAAAACTATCACAGACCATTGTTAAGATGTTAGCTTATAAAAAGAATTGTTAAAGCAGTTTTCAGAAATATTGAAACATTAAGGTATATTTTGATTCAATTTTATAGACTTATAAGAATAGAATTTGAAAATACCTAGAGTGTTAGGATTCAATTTTTGAATTTAATAAGTTGGGTTCTCTCCCTTTCTTTCCTGATATCAATTAATACCTTCCTTATTGGTCTTTAATTATAGTAATAGCAAACCATAGTGAGCTATTACCAAGTTGCTGAAGAAATACATTTTTACTGACTAAATGTTTTCTAGACCTGAAATACCTAGTTCACA